GGTTCCGAGATAATAAGGTAAACAAAACTAGATACCTCCTCTCACGGAACGGAACCTCGAGGAAGCGTCACGAGGTCACACTTTTCGTTCGAAGATGACCCTAAACCGTAGGCCTAATCAGAGAATTCCGGCCGATCAGAGAGATTACAAGTTCATCTCGTAACTGAGAAGAAAAACCCCAACCTAAACCATGTCACAGCCATCATTTTAACCCCAGATAGCAGAAAAAACCATATCTAAGATCTTAATCAACCCATCGACCGAGATATTGGCAGACTAAGAGCTCTAGCTGAGGTGCAAAGGTGCCATTGCTAACAAGACGCACAGATTGTGCAATTTCTCTATAATCTACGCTTCTTAGCCGCAGAAACCGGAAATGATATCAGGAATCTTAAGAAGAGAACAAGAACAAAATGCTCAACCAATACTAACAAAACAAAAACCTAAAACTACTAGCTAATTTCCACGAATAATCCTACCGCAAACAGTAACATTGATTCGTCGCATGAAAAAACAACAAAGAAATGAAGATCAAGCAAGCCGAAGAACAAAAACGAAAACCAAACAAGACTCACCAGTATCCTAGCCGCAAGTGAATGAGGAGGACCACGGTTAGAGAGAGCGTTCAAGGCAACCTCAGCCGCGGAGTGCTCAGCCTGACGGAGAGTAGAGCAGTACTGAGGGCATTCAAAGACCTCGCCATTGAAGTTAACAGTAGCTTTAAACCTCGGCGCATGGTCTGGTCCTTCCCTAATGCAGGTATACGAGGGAAGATTAAAGCAACTCCTCTGTGCCAGCTCTTGAAGCTGGTTCTTGTACATTTCCGCTCCGATTCAGTCTCAGCACCGCTTCACTCCTCCTTCCACTCACTTCACAAATTTACCTCCTCCTCTCCTCCTCCCTCCGTTAGGGCTTTTCACAGAAACCAAAAACCCTAACCAAGATCTGATCCACCGTAATCTAGCAGAAAAATCAAAACTCAAGAGAAGATTCTCACACCGTCGTTGTTGACAGAGACGAAAATCCGGCGAGATCAAAAGCTTTTTAGGGGTTTTTTTTTTCTCACACTTTCAGAGAGAGAGAGAGAGAACCCCGAGGCTGGTTTGTGAGAGAGAAAGGGAAAATTTTCTTCCTGAAAAAAAAATTAAATTTCAAATAATTTAACTAAAAAAATTAATTATTTCTACTTTTTTTATTTTTATTTTGTGTTGTTTAGAATAATATTATATTGCGGAAATTTTCATTATTTAATGCTGTTTTTTTAGAGTCAACTGGAGCGTTAAGGCTGCATTTTGGCATTGGATTTGATGCATTATTTTATATTTTTTTAAAATATATATATATTAATTACTAATTAATTTATGATTTTTTTTTATTTTTAAAAAAGAGTAAATTATTTTTCAATTTTTGTATTTTATTTCATTATTTTGTTGTTTGTTATGAAATGACAAAATTGTCCTTCCCTTCTGATTTATTTTGAATTTTTGGGTTAATTATTTTAAAGTCATGTTTAAATTATTAGTTTTTTTTTTTTTAATATGGGAAATTGAATTTCAAATAATTTTTTAAATCTCCAAATATGGAAAATGAAATGTATGGGAGAGAATGTCTCCCAGCAACATATCAAAGGATGCAACCACTTTTAAAGTAGTGGAGGCAAAAAGTGAAAATCTAGGACAAACCCACTAATGGAGTTTTTTTTTTTTTTTTTTTTTTTAATAAATTTATTAAAAATGAAAGTATTAAAATGGCCGAGCAATTAGTGACCATCATTTTATTAAAATGGTCGAGAAAAGTGACTAAGTTAGATAGTAATGCTAAAAGGTTTTCATATAAATATCTATCTTCAACTTAGAGGGGATACTACACTTCAATTCTCTATGCTAACTTAAGCATTGAAGCTGGTATCATAAGCGTCACAATCATGAATAGTCGTACGAAGAGAAAATACAATAGTAAAGCAATACAACATGAAATTAAATAAAGTGTTCGATGTGACGGGCATATGACCATGAGCAACATGCCCTGGATGAGCATAATCGTTACAATAAGCATCGTATCAATAGAGATGTCCATAGACGTTTTTCAGTCCATATTTTGACAACAATAAATTCTCGTTAAAGCTTCTAGAAGATATGACATTTCAAAATTTTGAATTTTTCGACAACATTTAATGTTAAATGGAGTCAAAGGTGAATAACCACCAACTCGAGGGAAATATAAATATTTAATTTAGGTAACAATTTGGGAAGGTTTCGTGTAAAATGGAGAAATTCTGCCTTCGAACCTAATGTCGGATGCAAATAAACATTACAATATAAAATAAAAGACTTACAAGCATCAAAGTTGAGATGGCCGAGTTGGTCTAAGGCGCCAGATTAAGGTTCTGGTCCGAAAGGGCGTGGGTTCAAATCCCACTCTCAACATTATTTTCAGTTTTTTTCCTTGGACAAAAATGGCGGGAAGGCTGACCGGTCTTAAACTATCGCCTCCGCAGGTGACTGAAATTTAAGTTTAATCTTAAATAATAAGTTATATAAATACTGATAAAATAAGTTTTGGTATTAAATTTATAATTTAATCAACATTTATGTAATATTTATAATATTTAATATAAATATATATATATATATATATATATATATATATATATATATATATATATATATATATATATATATATAA